CCACCCCACCGAAAATATGACAATTTAGGGGTTTCAAAGGCTTATTTGATCGATTTTAGAGTCTATTATTATGTACAAAATACATTTTTTTTTATTTCTTTTTCTCCCCGACCGGGTGGGGGGGAGGAAGGCCTTCCCGACGGGGGGAGGGGGATGTAGCCCCTTTACCTCCGTAGCGCCGCCATTGTCTGCAAGGCAATCGGCTAGTTGAATCAGGTTCAACCTTCCCGACGTCTGTCGGCGACTGTCGCCGATAGGGTGAGCGATTATATGGAAACCGAGATTCACCGAAAGCTGTCGGCGATAACGTGTAGCGATTGTATGGAAACAATTCAGCTTAACTTGAACCTGGTTTGTCACCAACAAATCGGGCAGCCTTCCCGATTGCGTCGTGGACTGTATCGGTAATGATTGTATGGAAACTGGCCTTGTGTATCCACATAATACTACAATTTTTCAAATGTAGGCTAAATAATCTCATGTTTTTTGTAGTAAACACGTTATTATTGTTTATAAAACCATATTTATAGAAGGTGGCCCTTCCAGCGTATCCTAGAAGGTCGACTGATATTCAGGGGCCCTCCTAAATAAATTGAATAACGTGACGCTTTTATCAACGAAGTCTCTGTATGAGTCTTGGGGTTGTTTTTAAACGTAAGAAAAAGTTGCTGTCACAGGAATTGAACCCAGCGCCCTGGGATTAGGAGGCAGGCATCTTAACCACTAGGTTATTCAATTCCACTCCAATCATTAATTATTATTAATATTTTGTACTCAATTGTTTATGTTCAAACTCACAAAAAAAAGTTTTCGTTCTCAACTATAGTATTATTCAATAATCTATGTATATAGGACACACGTATGGTAATTGGCAAGTGTATTTGTTATAACTTGTTTGTAGCAATAAAAAAATTATGGTGAAAAAGCTATTTATAGATTTACGTACATTTAATAGCCTGATTTGATCAAACTCAATGTACTATTTCAACACAGGTGTATTCCCTTACTGAAAAATTATTATATAACTTTATTCAAAAACTGAAATGACTCTTAGTTTCTGGTAAGTCTTGTATCATGACAAAATGAAAATAAACATTTATTTTTTTAATCAACTTGCTTACTGGAAAAATATGAAAGTAGTTACACTGTACCAACAATAACCAACACTTAGGGCCCTATATCTTTTTTCAACGGTGTCTTCACTTAAGTAGGTCTCTGTCAATGTCATAATAATAATTGGCAAAGACGACTACGACCCTTTCTAACTACAACAAAGTCATAACTTAGATAAAAGACCTATTTTTAATCTTCGTTATCTCAATGTCCCCCTCTTTGTAATTTTGGAAATTTGTTTGTGCCGATGGGGATTAGCCCTGTGTCTATGCCTAAACTTTTTTTTAATAGTATAAAAGTGTGTCGCAACTTGTCAAGTTGTGCTAATTAAAAATTTGAGTGCACTCGAACTCAGTGTCTCTTGGTATATTTTTTCTATGAAAATGATTTAAACTATCTTACTAAGAGCAAGTTTGTCAATGGTCCCTTTTTTAAACATTTCCACTATAATGGCTGAATCACCTCAAGTATCATCAGTATAAGCATAGAGCGCATGATTTATATCAGCTTTTCGTGCCTTTTTAGCTTGACGATAGCAACATTACAGTTTATATGTTGTTTGTTTTGCTTCTTTTTGCTCATTCCTTCTCATTTATTCATTTCATGCAGTTAATGATTCTGTGAAGTTCGCGTTAAAAGCTTTCAAAATGAAATGAGCACTATGATTATTCAATCTTAACGTATTGCTTCCCCAGCGCCCTGTGAGCATAGTTAAAGTAGGTTAGCTTTAATCATGCAGAGGAGGCTCAAGATAATATTTTTGTTTAAATCAATTTGACAACGAATATTGTTTCATTATTTACTGTAGATTACTACTTAAGTTCTATATTATACCCGTTATCTGTATGTGCATTTACGCTGAAATGCGACCTCACCACCCCCCCCCCCCCCCCCCCCCCCCGCCAAAAAAAAAATGAAGGAGCACCGAACTATAATTACTAACAAAAGTAAAAATTAGCCAGTATGTTATTTTACTATTGTGATCTACGGCAATGACTGACTTGCGTTTTTTGTCATTTACAGTTTCTATTCGTATGGCAAACCGTATCATATCCGGTAGCAGTGCAACTAATCTAATATATTATTACTGCAACTTCAATCCTTATGACTTATTGATAGGGCAACTTTATCGTTAATAGTTACAAGCAATGTTACAACATAATCCAAAAGAAAATTTATAAACAATTTCTTATACATATAAACAAGTTGTATAACATTGTCACCATTTATTTGTTTCATAAATTAAGAGTGCAAGAACTTGTCATGTTCGACTACAATGTGAATTTAGCCGATTTTAAATGTCACTCCTTAAAGTGACAATCTCGTGTTCACGTTTTATAACTTAAAGGGGACCCAAAAGTGTACCCTGCTGCCTGCTTGAAATTTCATGAGATCCGCATCTCTGCCATTGGCTGTGACGTAGATCGTAGTCTGTCTAATATCATTAGAATGTACGATAATAAATGGCGACTATCACATCAAATCGCCACTTTAATACTTCTGTCAGCGAAACACATTTGACACAACTTGCTCTCCTGCAATATTCATAGCCAATTTTCATGCGTATACCTACTATATTTACAGTTGCAAGTAATTTCAAAGCGCATTCTTAATTATACAGATATGTCAGATTTCTAACTTTTTATAAACGTGTTTACTGTCACTAGTGGCCGATTTATGTAACCAGTTATTAAGATATATGAATTGGTGGCTGTTGGAATGACTTTTGATTGAAAACATTCCTGTCCGCGCTAGCCATTTTCATGGCGATTACTAAAGTGAATGTGATTCCAAAACATCAAATCATGATTAAACGATAAAGGAAACGAAATGGGTACAGCTATTACTCAGAGCAGACTGAAATCGTTTGAAATGGCGTGCATTAATATATTCTTTGATAAGTAGCATAGAAGACTGTTTGAAACATAGCAGAATTAAGACTAAGGTTTGCATAGATGAAAATAAATGTCTGTTAACAACACTAACATGACAGCTAAGTTGGCGGATGTCTGACGAGGTCAAGAATAGCGATCAGAGCAACTGAAGTGGTTATTTGTGAGAAGAATTTATGCTCTATTCGTAATTACTACTTACGCTCGTTCATCATTAGCAATATCAATAGTAATAGTAATTGTAGTAGTAGAGTAACATCAATAACATAGCAATAGTAATTATATTAATAGTAGCATATTACACAGTAATAGCGAGGAATATGGATGATTATTTAGACATAGGTTAAGAGTTTGTCAATAGTTGTCCAAGTAACAATCCATTTCACAAGACAAACATACACAGCTCTACATAAACTTAGGTCTGGTTATGAAGATTATTACTTTTTGTCGTGAGAAGCCAAAATCCTTAATTTGTATGAATTTTTCATTTGTGTCGATCCAGCAAAAAAAACACAATAGTACTCAGACTACGTTTCGCGAACGATCCGTTCGCTTTCTCGCCAGTCTTGTCTGACGTCACCTCGGTGTTGTTGAGGTCGAAGTACATCGCTGCGTCGTCGACGAGCCCCCCCCCCCTCTTAGTGTTGTGGTCCAATATGATATCATTATTGATATGTGATAGAATGTGTCCTCCTTCATCTCTGTTCATAGTATCTGTTGTTTTTCTGATCCATACAAATTCTCTGACTTTTCGTTCAAACCATGAGCTTTCTTTTTGTAATATTTTTATGTCATCATATTGGAGAAGATATGTAGATGACATATTAGCTATAATTCTGAAGAATACAACCACGCCACTTTTAAATCATCTCAACAACATAGATCCGTCGAAAAACATTCAATTCACAATTGAAAATCTGGAAGACGGAAAGATACCGTTTCTGGACATTACCATTTCCCTTCAGCATGACGGTTCCCTAAGTTCAACAGTATATCGAAAACCACCCCACACGAACCAATATTTGGATTTTCACTCACATCATCCGTTAGATCATAAGGTAAGCGTCATCAATACTTTGGTAGACAGATGCGACAATATAGTTACAACAGAAGAAGACAAACATCACGAAATGGAAAACATCAAATGAACACTACACAATTGTAACTATCCCAAATGGGCATTTAAGAAAGTTTTTAATAGAAGAAAGAATAAAGCATCAAACATCAGTGAACGCCAAACTAAAGATCAAATGGAAAAGGCCAGAGGTTCGATAGGTATTCCGTATATTAATGGGATGTCCGAACGGATAAAGAGAACACTAGCAACACACAAAATTAACACGTACTTCATTCCACAAAGCAAGATCAGACAAGAACTTGTCCACCCTAAAGACAAAATACAAAAATAGGAAACCTGTGGCTGCATTTACCAAGTATCATGCTTAAATTGCAGAAAAGTATATATTGGTGAAACAGGAAGATCACTCAAAACCAGGATTCAGGAACATCAACAAACAGATGTTCAAAAGAACACAGTAGGAATCCGAACAAGATCAGCAAGGTTGTCCGATTCAAAAATTTTAAATAAATCTGCAATCACCGATCATGCAACTAAATCATATTCCAATTTGGGACATAAAAATATTACAAAAAGAAAGCTCATGGTTTGAACGAAGAGTCAGAGAATCTTTATGGATCAGAAAAACAACAGATACTATGAACAGAGATGAAGGAGGACACATTCTATCATATATCTATGATGATATCATATTGGACCACAACACTAAGAGGGGGCCCCTCATCATCAGTCTACTTGAGAAAGCGAACGGATTGTTCGCGAAACGTAGTGTGAGTATTATGTGTTGTTTTTTTTTTTTTTTTTTTTTTTTTACTATTGTTGTTTTTTTTTTTTTTTTTCTGGATCAACACAAATGAAAAATTTCATACAAATTATATTTGGATCCAAATGAATATTTATTTCAACAAAATCCTTAACTTCATAGGAATAAAACCCAATACCCTGGAATTAGAAAGCTCACCAAGCTCAGTTGCACTATTACACTTTTTTTCTTTTTTTTTATAAGAACCAGTAAAATTTTGCCCAGGCTCAGTGTTCTTATTTTTTGGCCGATTTCAGGCTCAAAATGTTCTCATTTGGTTTTTAGTTTACACACCTTTTAAACATAAAATTATTTAATTGTACGGCAGTATGCACTGTACTTGAATGTAGGTGAAAGTGACCCCACAAAAAATGGCCCCCAAATATCAGATAGGTACACCTACTGTACTCTATTATAGAGGGTATTACAGTCACACCTACTACAGATAATGTTCAGATATAATATTTTGGTTTTTAAAAATATAAACCTCATTTGAAATTTTACCTCAGCCTCAATTTATTCTTATTTTGTTCTTAATTTTTAAGCAATTTCAGCCTCAGTGTTCTTATAAAATGTGTTCTTATAAAAAAAAAAGTGAACTGCATTCACATCGGATCTGAACCAATATTCAGACCGCGTTTCCAATGTGCTGAACAAAACGTCTCTAAACATACTGATCAGATTTTCTGATTGGTTCGTTAGGCTTTCCGATCCGACAATTCAGATTGAATTTCCCTGGCTATACGCAAGAATATGACGCGTCAAGCCATCTACTTAAAAAATATGACTGACAAATTATTAAATACATAATAGTTATATACAGTAGATTTTTCTCTACGATGTTTACACCTACTTACTTGGGGTTAATTCTGTGGCCCATGTTCCATTTTCGCAGGTGATGGTATCTCCATGACGGCCACTACAAGAGAGCATATACCAGAAACAGGCCAAAAAGTGAATGCACAGGCCGGCGAACGTCGTGTATTTTATAGTTCTGATGGCAACAGTATTTGTGCCCAACTTCGACTCCTTCATGTCTGCAAATAATTAAAAAAAAATTAAAATATTATTTATATAGTAAAGTTATTACTTATTTTGAAATTAAACGCAGAATTCTATAAATGACAGACAATACAAATAAGCCAATATAATTATTAAAAATGATAATGAACAAACAGTAAACCTTAACAGTAATATATAGTAAAATCGGATGTATTTTTTGTCTACAATGCCAACGTACAGTATAATAATAATAATAATAATAATAATAATAATAATAATAATAATAATAATAATAATAATAATAATAATAATAATTCTGGAGATTTATATAGTGCCGGTGTCCACCATTCAGTGCTCATGGTATGTAATTGTTTTACTTTTGTAGGCCTACCTGCTATTATATAAATTTAAAATATTATATATATATATAT